GCCTGCTTCTCCCTCTCCCACTCCCCCTGCTTGTGTTCCCTCTCTCGTTGTGTCTCTCTCTGTCAAATAAATAAATCTTAAAAAAAGAGAGAGAGAAACTCTTTCCCTATTCATCTCGTTGCATCCCTTAGTTCCTCTTAAGAAAGTATTTCACTTGAAATCTTCATCAAATTTCACAGGAACAAGGGGTCCCCGAACGTCTAAACCCTTCAAAATGCAAAAGGTATGCCTAATCCCTTTATGCTGAAATTTAATTAGATTCCAATTCCCATGTTAGGCATTTCTTCCAACTTACAACCATGTTTGCTAATTCTGATGTTTTACAGAGCAGGATTAGGAGACAATTTATTCAGATTAAAAGGAGAGGATTAACGTCTCCATCCCCTTTTCCAGGGAGCAAAAGAATTCCTTAAAATAGCCTCATCTAATAGAAAACAGAACAAACTTAAAGTCAGGTTGAGTTCTTTCAGTTCGGTCACCAGGTGGTGTATCTAATTTCGTTGCAAATTAACCCTTCCGAGCTTCCACTCAGAGGTAGAAGAGAAAATAGTGAGAGTCATCACAAACCCGCTGGGTTTGCAGCCAGCTGTGAAGTACTTGGAACCGCCCAGAAAATGACCACTTTCGAACGGATATTCTTAGACTCGTGGGTGCTGTAAACCCCGGGACGCCTGGCCTGCTCCCGGGGCCAAAGCAGGCTGCCTCTGGGCGCTCCGCAGGGGGCTCCTTCCGCACCAGAGTCCCCAGGCCCGACGCTCCCTCCACCGCCCACCCTCACTCGGTCCGCAGGCCTTCAGAATGCCGACCTGCGTTCGCACCCGACGCCCGAGAAGCGGCGAGGCTCCCCGCAGCCCCACGCTTCCGCAGCCAACCAGCCCCGAGGAGCCGCTACAGGAGGCCACTCGCGAGGCGGCCACCCTAAGGCCTCGAAGCGCGGCGGCCGCCCACGGCACCGTCCTCTTCCCGCCGAGCCGAAGTTCGGCCGCCCACGAGCTGCCCAGCGCCAGCAGCAGCATCCCGCGCGTGAGAAGTGGCGGCAGACGGCGCTACGGCGACAGCGGGGAAGCCTGAAGCCCAGCTCCCCACCCGGCCGCAGCTGGAACCTGCCGTTCATGCCCCGCCCCTAGCCGCACGCGCGTGCGCAGAATACGTAGCCTGCTTGCAACTTTCCGTGCCACGCGCGTTCCCTGCGGACAGAGCTCTGAACACCGCACGCCCGCCTCTAGTTGCAGGGACACGCAAACGCCCAGCCTGCGCGCGGCTTCCCTTTCCCAGACTTGAGCGCTCTTTGTGAGACTGTGGAAGGACAGAGAAGAGAGCCATGCGCGAAAGACAAAGCCTGGAAGCCAGGGTTAAATCTTTGATTCTCGTGGGCGTCATTTTCTAGGCCCCCAAATATATTTTCCTTCCGGAAAATGATTCTAGCCTATTAGCACAGAGTAATATTTTATGCGACTTGGACAAAAATGAGTGGTAATTTAATCCAACCGTTGGATTGGTAGAAAATAAATGGAGCTTGCTCATGTGATGCTGATACTTGACAGATTTGTCTTCTGGAATCCTTCTCAACCATATACGTTTGTTCATTACTTGTTAAAGAGGTACTGAGTGCCTATTGCCAAGACTAAGGAGCAGAGGATATAAAGATACTGCATAAAATTGGGAATCCACTGTACTAACACAGTGGAGGAAACACCTAAAAATAAAATATAATGCTGCAATATCATTAGAATATACCAATTTACAAAATTTTTCAGAAGCCCAGAAAACAGCATGATTATTTTGGCCTCGAAACGTCTAAAAGCTTCAGGTTACCTGAGTCTTAAAGGATGAGCATCCAATTAGTTGACACTCCTCTGTTCACTATTTCAGAAGAATGTTTTTGACTCCAGACACTTTTGGCACAGGAGAGGATCAAACTAAAAGTCTAAAATAGTATCACCTTGACAACTCCAAATCCTGTCTACTTTTTTTCTGAGTATCCAAAGGGATAAAATTATACTGCTTCTTTATGAATGATTTCATTTTCTTAAACTTATCTTCCACTTACATTTTTTTTTAAAGATTTTATTTATTTATTTGACAGAGACAGACACAGCGAGAGAGGGAACACAAGGGAGTGGGAGAGGGAGAAGCAAGCTCTCTGCTAAGCAGAGAGCCTGATGTGGGGCTTGATCCCAGGACTCTGGGATCATGACCTGAGCTGAAGGCAGATGCTTAATGAGCAAACACCAGGGACCATCCAGGCACCCCTCCACTTACATTTTAAAAACTCTTCTGTTTAGTGTGATACTACAAACATCAATTATCCATCTTACTGATATGTTTAAAATATTCTGTTAATACAGTATTTTCATATTGTTACAAAGATAAATTGAGACATTAAAATTTTTTGGTTTATTTGAGCAAAAATTTATTGGAATTGGACAGCACCAAACCGAAAGTGATTAAGAGTCCTCCACTGAGAGGAGCCAAGGGCAAGGTTTCTACAGAGACGATGAAGAAGCAAAGCAAGGAAATTATTTGGCTATAGTTTAAGCAGTTGCATTATTTGGGAAAATCTACTTGGCCGTTTGTGATTGGTTGTTCTTAGACATTTACAGGAATTGACTCTGGCTTAGGTTTTGGTTTGCTTCCATAGGCTACCAAGGTATTAGAGCCATTTCAGTCTAATGGCTTCCTTGATTGATTTCTTCAATAATATACTGAGAGAATGTGAATTTTAACTTCTGTTAAGCTTAGTTTTTTCCAACAGATTCTGTAAACAAATGAATATAATATTTGGTTTACTTCTCAGTGTTTCTAAACAGCTAAAATGAGATCATATTCTGAAAATTTTGTGCTATAGAATTTCACAGAATTGTTATTTATGCTTAAATAGATTTCCCAATTCTAGTAATACAGACATTTGTTGAAAATAAACTACTTGAGTGGGATTTTAGAATGATACTGACTGGGGCACCTGGATGGCTTAGTCTAAGTATCCGATTCTTGATTTTGGCTCCGGTCATGATCTCAGGGTCATAAGATTGAGCCCCACATCCAGTTCTGTGTGTTGGGTGTGGAGCCTGCTTAAGAGTCTTTCTCTTTTTCCGCCCATCCCCCACCCTCTATCTCTCTTTAAAAAAAAATTAAAAAATGAAAACAAGGTAAATGGGTAAATGTCTAACCTTAAGGAAATACTTAAGTGAATCACAGTACATTTATATGATGTAATTCTATACAGACATTAAAAATGATGCTTGTTGAGATTTTGGTTACAGGTAAGTTAAATTGGAAAGTTAATAGTATACAAAACCATATGCACACAATATGATGATGTAAAAGTGCATGGAGAAAACAAACATCTGCAATCTGTATTTTTTGTAATAGGCATATATTATATTGACTACCTAAATAAAATTTTAAAATACAGTAAAATTTTGCACAAAAGAAAAAAGACAGTCCTAGACTACATCCTAGCCCTAAATCTGGCATTAGCTAGCCTCAGTATTCTCACGTGGAAAATTCTATCATTCTCTAGGCAACTAATATAGCGATCCTTTAGAGGCTGATGATGGAATGAGGAAAAGAGGAAGAGAAGGGAAGAAAACAACACTTTTGAAGTATAGGGGGAAAAATATGATTGAAAATGGGCCCACGCCTCCTCTCCTCACCCCATTCTCTCCCTGCCAAACTCTATTCTGAGCTACCGTTAAAACCAAAAACTTAAAAAAAAATTTTTTTTGCAAAGGCTTTGAAAAGTTAACCCAGAAAAATCTGTCCGTTAAAAGCAATGACTTTTATCTGTCAAATCAACAAAACATGTCTTTCAAGCAAAAGTCATTAATTAGGTCAACAAATTTTGTTTCGCCTGTATCTATTTTCCCTTTGCTGGACATTGTTAACACAACAGCGCCTAGTTGAGCAACTTGAAATGGTGTCTTGGCCCTACATTCCCTTCTTGCCACGGTCCGGTAAACAGAGTGCAAACTTTATTTAGCTGTTTCAGCTTTTCTGGAAGGGTGCCTGAGTTTAACCACAGCAAAGCAAGCAAAAAGGATAGGCCGATCGACGAGCGAGAGAGGGGCAAAGAGAGCGAGAGAGTTAGAGTGCTGGGGCAGAGGGCGTGGAATGTCAAAGATGGTCTCAGAATTCAGTATCCACGGCAAACGACTGGAAGTTCAGTGAATGATCTCAGAATCAAGGAGAGCTGAGCAACCCGGGACTGGGAGGGGTTTGTAGGGCGGGAGAAAGGCCCCAACCCTGTAGGGGGGCGGGGGGGCGTGGTTAGTTTTCAGTAATCGGTGTCGAGAAGGGAGGAAATGAGGCCAGCCGATTGCGCTAGCGGTTATGATGCTCTTGCAACTTTTCATGAAAAGACAGATGGTGTTTCTTAAAGAACACGATCTTGTTAGCATAGAAACCGCACTCCCACTTTTCAGTCTTTCCTATGCAGATAATCTCCGACTCCCAAGAGTACCCCTGGACAATCTCCAAAATTACCAAAAATCTTAACATTCAACGTGAGAAACTACAAGTCCCAGGGTGTAGTGCTGCCGTGGAGAAACAGTAGCCGCCAGAGAAACTACAAATCCCAGGATGCAGTGCTGCCTCGGAACCCCGAGCACCTCTTTGAGAATGACGTCCCTGCGGAAATCGGATCAGGGTCGGCGCTGCATGCTGGGAATCAGAAGACCCAGAATTGGATTGGTTGGGATTTGCAAATGACCGCGGCCCCCCGAGGTTGGCCAGTGGTACTGTAGGAGAAGGGAGGGGGGCGCTGCGCACTTCCTGTAGACGGAAGCGGACGATTGACTGCGTCCCCGCCTCACCAGGTACTAATCTCCCGCGCGTTGTAGAAAGCGTCCGTGACCCGGCGGAAGTGATTCCTCTAACTGCCCCGGAACCCACCGCGGCAGGCAGCTGGGGGTGGGGGGGCGGCCCTGGAGTAGGGGCTGTGGCGGTGCGCGGGGACCCGGTGCGGTGGCTGCTGTGGCTGCAGGGCTGACGAGTGAGTCTCGGGCTGGGTGGGAACGGAGCTGCGGATCCGCGTGGAGGACGAGGAAGGCTCGTGCTGGGCGCGCACGCAATCCCACTTCCCACCCCTTCCCATTTGGGCGGGGAAGGAACGGAAGCTCTTAACCTCGCCGGGCCTCCTGAGCTCCTGGTTTGGGGGAGGGGAGAAGAGGGCGGCAGGACCTTTCTAGGCGCCGCTTGGTGGCCTCGGAAGAGGGTGAAAGGAGGGGCGGCGGCTAGCGAGTCTGGGCCTTCCCCGGGCTGAGCGCGGGGAGGGTGGAGTTAGGAGCATGGCAGCCCTGTCGCGTTTCCTTTCTGCTTACCCCGTGTGCACTCAGATACGTCCTTTTCTTGGAGTCGGTCCCCAGTCAGAGGAGTGACTCTCACAGTCACAGTCCTCCTCTTTTTCCAGCTGCAGGACCCCGAGAAGTTTACCTTCTGGGCAACTTGTCGGACAATCTCTGCCCGACTTGATAGTTTGGGACTGTCGTGCATCTGCCTTCCAGTTTTGTCTGAAAGGTATCTAGTACAGTGGCCGTTGAGTTTATCTTATGGAACTAAAATCTCTTTCGTAACATGTAGTTGTAAAGTTCATGTCGTTAGTACGGGCATTTCTACTTAGCATTTTACTTTTTCATGTTTGTGTAGAAAACAATCGAAATCCTTTAGTTTGAGTTTTTAAAATCCTTTTTTTCAAACTGCTAAACTTGTTTTTTGATCCCCAAATGGTTGTTTCCTTTTCTGTTTAGTAGACTAAGATGATAAATCTCTGATCTCGCTTACATTATATTTGTAATTCATGATGTTGAAACATCACAGTTCACACACATGGATTCGTTCATTCTAGAGATACTATGGTAAGGAAACAGCTATGGTCCCTGTCATCTTGGATATTTATTTATTGCCAGTGGTGATTTGGGGTTTATGTTTAATTTTTAAATGACTGTTATTTTTTCCCTAAGTATGAGATTTAACTAGTAACTACCATTTCAAAAAATATATATATACCTTATATATATGTTTATTTCAACTTGTAGATGCCAGTTTCATTACTTTTATAGTAATTCTGTAATGTAGTTAGGCAATAGTAGTCAGAAGTTATGGTCAGCCCTATATATCAAGTTCTAAAGTAACATTTGTGTGTACTTTATAAAGTGCTTTTTTGGTGTGTTGTTTTTTTTTTTTTAATATAGATTTTTCAGTACTATAAAATAATCTGGAAACTCTTTGCATTTATACTGGTAAGTGTACATGCATTTTAGCTAACTTGTTATAAATGTTTACTGTTCCATTATTAAATAAGATCAGGAAAAGCCCATCGAGTGATGCCTGAAATTTCAAGCCTTGGTGACTAAGAAAACAATAGTACCATTCACTCAAGAAATATTTATTGAGCATCTGCTGTATGCCAGCTACTATACCAGGCCTGCCCTCATGGACCTTGGGGAAAGAGAGGAAATGCAATAAGTATATATAAGTATATACATATATACATATATGTATATAAGCAATTATAGTTTCAAGTGGTGATAAATGTGAAGAAATTATGTCAAGATTATAGAGTTATGTCAAGAGTCAAATTAGGTGACTAGGGTAGGGGTGTCTTAATTTTGATAGGGAAGTGAGCAAGGAAGACCTATGTCTCTGAGGAGTTGATGTTTTGCCTGGAGACCTAAATAATAGGGAAAAGCTTTTAAGGTATCAGTAATGCAAATGTAAAGACCTTAAGAGAGGAATGAACTGAACCTATTATGATACTAAAATGGCCAACGTACAGTATAGCTGGAGCATAGTGAAGGAAGAATGATGGGAAATAAAATCAGAGTAGTTAGCAAAGTCTACATAAGATACAACTTTATAGTACTTTTTCTGTTTGTAATGAGAGGCCATTAAAGGATTTTGTGCAGGGGAATGATACCTGATTTCTGTTTTTGATGACTGGTTGCTGGGTGGCAAATAGAGCAGTTGGAGGAAAGTGAGGAAACTAGTTCCTAAGGAGGCTGTAGTAGTCTAAATGAGAAATGGTAGCTTGAACTAGAGATGTAGGGTGGAAGTTTGTGAGGAATAGTATGATTTGGAATATAATTTGAAGATGGAGTCAGGTAGGTCTTGCTTCACCCCTAGGACAGAAAAAAATTTGAGGAATCAACTGTTTTGCCTGTTTTGAGCATCTGGGTGAACAGTAGTACCACTTACTGAAATAAGACAGGAGGGTACACTGGTTTCTGAGGAATAAATCAGGAGTTTGATAATTATTATACAGCTCAGAATGTGTGCAAGTAGGCAAGTTGGATATCCACAACTATTGCCAGGGGCAGAGTCAAGCTAGGAAGATTATCTAGGGATCATATTTTTTTTTTATTATTATTTTATTTTTTTAAGATTTTATTTATTCATTTGAGAGAGAGAGAGCACAAGCAGGGGGAGAGGCAGAGGGAGAGGGAGAAGTAGACTCCCCACTGAGCAGGGAGCCCGACATGGGACTCAATCCCAAGACATGGAGATCATGACCTGAGCTCAAGGCAGATGCTTAACCATCTGAGCCACCCAGGTGCCCCTGGGGGTCATTTTTAATAGGTATTATGTAAACCTGTGGACTGGAGGACATCAAGTGGAGAGTATTAATGGAGAAGAGGACAGATGACCGGGAACACTCTGGTTGAAAGAGGAGCAGCAAACAGTGATGGAAGCAGAAAAGCCAGGAGCGTGTGGCATCTGTAATACTAAGGGAAGAAACTGTTTTGGGAAGGCAGGAGTAGTCAACTGTAAGACCCTGCTAAGAGTTAGATGAGGATTAAAAATTCGCCGTGTAAACAAGTAAAGTAATGGAAATACGGTGAGCCCCTTGAAGGGACTAGTGGGCCAGAAGTCTGATCAGAGTGGGTTAAGAAGAAGTGAATGGTAGTGATGATGTTACAGCATTTTGATGTGCTGATGGGAATAATAGCAGGACAAAGTCCTTGGAGAGGTGTGCTTAATTTAAGTGGAAAGGTTGGCCTTGGATAGGAAGGATGGTTTTTATTCAGCTTTTGAAACAGGAGGGTGGACAGAGTATATGGTATGTAGATACAGGTAGGATGAAGATGGAAAACAAGGCAATTGATGTGATGTCTTTCTGTTTTCTTGATAAAATAAGTTGTCAGGGCAAGAGGAGGAGAAGGTGTTGGAGGTTTAGGAGAAGCTAGGATTTTTTCAGAGTAGAAAAGCTAGTTTACTAGGAGGATTTCTACAATGCCAAGTGCCTATTTAAAGTGTGTGGTCACGAATTTAAAGTTGAGATCAGTCAAAATGGTATGTCTTTTCTCCAGCCACATTCATCTCTCTGGTTGAGGCTTGAGCTCACCAGAGAATTGGGTTTGCCCAGGATTGGGATGTGGGTGGGTAGATCAATCAGAGGAGAGAGCAGGGAGTTAGGGTATAAGGACTGTGAGATGTGCATGGTGCTAATCCTGATGAACTCTTAACAGTGGAATGAAGGAAGGTCAGAACTTGTTTTATATTTGTTTTTTATGTTTATTTGTAGCCTATCATTCTAAGCATTCTTTTAAATTATTTTGTAATATGTAGAATCTATAATTAGATAGTATATAGTGGGAGTATTTGTTCAAACTTTTTTAAACCAAAACAAAGGCATTTGGAGATCACTGTCTAAAAGAGAGGTTAGGTAGTTTACAGGGGTGAGGCAGACAGACTCCGTGGAAGCACGTAGCACTCTGGAGCCCTGTGTTGTATGAGAGCAACAACTCTGTTTAATAAAGATGGGAAATTGGGAATTACAGGCATTTGTAGAGGGAGGGAGAATTTCAGATGGGTACGATCATGAAATGGTGGCCCTGGAAGGGACTTTTAGACACAATTTAGTCCATTGTATTTGAGAGATAAACAGGAGTCTTACCACTTTAACCTATCAGGATCTCAAGATAGAAATTTGGAGAGTAGAAATTCAGATGTCGCTTGCAGTGACACTGTTACTTTGTGTACACTCCTTCCCCACCCCTCTCCTGATTTGGCTCATACTGTTTATTTTGCCTGGATCTCCCTCTCCTTCCAGTTCTGCTTGGTAAAAACACCTCCATCCCTAGACCCAGATCAAAAGCTACTTTCCTTTTGTGGCTGTTCACTTAACAGATTCATAGTTCCAGATTTACTTCTTTAGGACTCCCAAAATCCTACTCCCCATCTATTAGCATCTGCAAACCTAGAGAATTTGGATTAGTTTTATTATCAGCATAAGTATCTTTTGAAAGGTTAATGAGACAGAAAACCATTTTGGATTGGTAATGTCTGTACAATGAAAGATACTTAAATTTAAGAAAAATAATAAATTTTTAAAAAAAACTTTCCCGGGCGCCTGGGTGGCTCAGTTGGTTAAGCGACTGCCTTCGGCTCAGGTCATGATCCTGGAGTCCCTGGATCGAGTCCCGCATCGGGCTC